TGTACACGTATTAACTTAAGTATGTGGTGTGAGGCCATAACTAAACTGACTGATTTAAATGCTATAACTGCATTTATGTTAGTTTATTGCCAATAGCTTCAAAACTTTTTGCTATTTTATTTTAAATAAATGATTTCGTTTAATTTAGCATATTTTAAAACATTTTAATTACATTTTAATTAATTTTTTTGTTTCAACGTTTTAAAAATGGTGATTTCGATGTCGAAGACAAACAAGGTTATGATTTGTATTTGGTGGGATCAGTGTGATTTACTACGAGCTCTTAAAACCGGGTGAAACCATCACAGGAGATCACTACCGAACGCAACTGAAGAGCCTTAGTCGCGCGCTAAAAGAAAAGCGGCCATAATATCAAGAGCGACATGACAAAGTCATCTTCCAACACGACAATGCTCGGCCTCACGTCGCAAAAGTGGTCAAAAAGTACCTGGAAACGCTGAAATAGGAAGTCTTAACCACTTAAGGCTCAGTAAGCGCTCAGCAATTGGTTTGTTTATAATTTAAGTTAGGTTATACTATTGTAGATAGCTGGAATGCCTCTCATATGTACGCCTTTTAGTCTTTTAAAGTGCCAGAGGGTGGTTTAAGTCAGTTCGAGGTGACAAGTCCGTTGAAGAGACTAAAATAGTATGTGCCCATAGGCGACTATGGAAGCAAGAGAGGAGTAGTCTTTCCCAAGTTTTTTCCTAATCCACTAAAACTACATAACCCCTGCCGGCATCCCTTCGCAGTAATAATACGTTGTTATTTTCATTTATTTTAGTTATTAATTAATTAAAATTTTCTAATTTTATTTCATTCGGGCGCTTTTTTCTTCATATCATTAAAATTAAAAAAAAATTAGATTATATTTAACTTCACTTTATTTAAATTTTTTAATTTATTATAAATAATTTTTTTCACATTAAGTTATTTTATATAATTTCAATTAATTTTATTTTCCTTTTCTTATTTCATTTAATTTAATTAAATTAAATTAATTTTTTTTTATTTTTATTTTATGTAATTTTATTTTATTTTATTTTATTTTATTTTATTTAATTTATTTTATTTTATTTTATTTTATTTTATTTTATTTTATTTTATTTTATTTTATTTTATTTTATTTTATTTTATTTTATTTTATTTTATTTTATTTTATTTTATTTTAGTATTTGAATATATATGTGTGACTGTTTATATGCGCATACATACATCAAAATAGAAGCAGCTACGCAAATAAGCATTATCAATGAAAAGCGGCGTACGACAGACTGGCCAATACCAATAAATAATTGACGTCTATTTGTAAATTAAATGCAAAAGTTCTACGTTTTGAAGTTGAAATGAAATGAAAAGGAAGGGGAAACACAACAAATCTAATGAACACAAAATTAAATGTAGGTCAGTTCAGTGACCATATTTGCTTTTAATTTGATCTCTTGCCGTATATTATTCACTGATTCCAACTAGGATTTTTTTTGCCATTTGGCAATGAGCAAAGGTTGTTGCTGGTGGCAACGGCGGTGGGTGCCCCAAGACCAATACAATTACACAAATGTAAAGTTTTGCCGGAATTGGGCTTAAATTTGCATTTAATGCGATTAAATTTATTCTATTTATGCAAATTTTTTCTCAAGTTGTGCCAAATTAGTATTTAGAAGGGCTTAAAAAAAGTGTTTATGCTAATTATATTTTATTTTGAAAGTAAATACTTTAATACTGCAAATAACGGTATAAAATTTGGTTAGTTCTGCAATTATATAAATTATCACTTCATTACTGTAGTAAATTAGAAGGTTTTAAATAGAAAATTATCACATTAATTTTGTGGGTGTAATTCTATTCAATTATTTTTTTGTTGAAGCGAGTTCAAATGAAAAAAATTAAATTGTTTTGATTTGATTGGCAGCAATCCAAATTAAAAGTGGAAAGAGTGTAACACGTGTTATATTGAGGAAATATTTTTGTGGAAATAAAGTGCATTAAGGAGTAAGCTTTGGTATATGGCTATGAGAAGAATATGAATATGAAAACTGTGTACCAGCTCTCATCAGAGTTCTTAAAATCCTACCAAGAAAAAATTCACCTATATTGCCACCGTCGGAGTTGATAGGAAAGCCGATGAGCCGAGAAAAGGTCTGCTCTCTAAATGGACGTTCAATTTATTGGGGTAAAGGCAGGAACTCTTTTGTATCGTCATGCTAATAGGCTTTAGAATCGTTCAAAAGTCTTAAACATTGTGGAAAGGATGTATAAATATATTCGAGGTCGCCATAGCCGATAGGTTAACATTGCGTATCGCCATTCTAAAACCCAGAGTCTGAGGTTCATTTATTCGTTGGAAAACATCAAGATGCGTTATAAAGCTCCAATCATATACATATATATATATATATATATATATATATATATATATATTATATATAAATATCAAAATAGTACACTGTTTTGGTCTGTAATCACCGAAGTTGTGATGTGTACTAAGAAACACAGAGGTCATACCACGTGAAAATGGTACTATACTGTCATTAGTGGAAAATGGAGCTATCTGAGATTAACACTGAATACGTAGCTCTCATGAAGATCTAATATGGTAACTAGTGTCAAGAAGTCTGTTTTTGAATTTTATACATGCAAAAGAGTGGTGGGGCCCAAATGTGGCTTAACATCTCGTGTAACTTATTAGCTATACTCGTATACGGCAGTTGTGAGACCAAATATTACTTTCGGTGACCAGTAATAGAAAAGAAATAAGCGGTGAAGCGTATGGAAAACAAGTAAAGTGCGGCTGGCATAAGCGTTCCAGCGTCCTTTGAAAAACGCCGATTCAGGCACTAAAAAGGTAGTTTTCCCTACTATCTACCTGATAAGAGGCATTCTAGCATACCTAGAAAATTCTCGTTACTTCCCAATGTTACGTATTTTCTTTGGAAATAAATTTTAATTTAACCTTCAAAATCACCATCCTCTCCAGAATAGAAATGAGAAAAAGGAGAAGCAGCAGAGGCATAAAATCTAGCACCATAATCGCCTCTCAGTTATCAAATCACTACATTGTTTTTTAGTCAGACACAGATAGCCAAGTTGTGCTAAAAGAGTGTCTTGTTCTGGTGATAGAGTGTCTTGATCTACTGGCAGGTCTACCATCGTATCAGACGATAAATCTGCAATGAGTTCCAGAACGCAGGGATCTCCAGGGTAACTGTGAGACAGATGAACGAGCTAGATTAGACACCACTCTGTGTTTAGATCCAAGAGAAGAAAAAATATATTAGGTTGTCTAATATCTCCCTTCCGCTTTTTTGTCTTTTGAATTTCGTGGCTATGTACAAAGCGCTACAGAGCTCGTATCTGACAACACTATACATAACCTACAAAACAACGTTATGCATGATTAGTTTGGATATTGCGTTCAACAGTTATAGATGTGTAAACATGGAGTTCACTAACGCCGAATTTCGCGCTATTTTAAAGTTTTCCTTCGTTAAGGCAAATCCGCTAGGGAAACGTTCCGTGATATTAATGGTGTTTTGGGGGATGGTACTCTATCACTTCGAACCGCGGAGGAATGGTTTCGACGATTCAGAGCCGGTGAAAACGACACCATGAATAAGCCATCCGGCGGAAGATCTGTGACGACAAATACCGATCAAATCATGGAATACATCGAGCTAGACCGGCATACGGCATCTCGTGACATCGCCCAGGAGATGGGAGTTAGTCACCAAACCATTTTGAACCATCTGAAGAAGGCTAGATACAAAAAAAAGTTTGATGTTTGGGTGCCGCATAATTTGACCTGCCGTAGAGATCTCTTAGCTTAAGGGGAAAGTTGAAGTTTCATAGTTAGTTATATTGGAAAAGAGACCATGATCACCTTACATGAAATGAAAATATGAACTCTTTTGTGTTGGACAAAATATAACTGACAACGATACGTAAGTGTAAGTATGAGTCAACCTGAAAGTACCTCACAGATTCCACACTCACACAAAATTCTATAATTTGGAACCTGAAGTAGTCTTCTTCTTCTTAAAAAAAAAAAAACGATATACACTCAGCGCCTGATATACTGACGTGTGCAGTGCTCAACTCTCCCAAGAGGTAGCAGAAAATTAAGAAAGACTTTTCTTGAAAATACCAGTGTGAAAGTTGTTGAAGCTGTGATTATTAAGGTGGGTCGATCTTATATTATTCGGTTATGGAAGAAATGCAAATCGAAGAAGAAAAGTCTTCAGTAGAGTCATGAGTTCCGTTCTACTAGAAGTCTTACAAACTCAGATCTACAGGGAAAAATAGCCGGCATATCGCCTCAGCTCATCTAGAATTATTAGTCACCTGCGAATATTCCTTGCAGAAGAAGTGAAAATAAAAATGTATTCTAGGAATTTCTTATGTAATGAAGCTGTGTATCAGAAGGAGATTATTCTGCCTCAAACCGAAGTAATTGCTTCGATGGTAATGTATATCGTAATTAAAGGCGACGTGTATTAGAAACTAGGCCTATTCGAATACGGAGTTACACACTGTATGAAAGCAATGGAGTTGCAGTCAAAATTTTCTACTCCCATTGTTATGCGGCTATAGCACTCATGAGAGTTTACCCTAAAATAAGGATGGGCGGAAGGAAAACCTGACTAATAGTCCCATAACCGCGGCTCTTGACGTTTGGTGGTTATATTTTAAATTGTTTAAAGAAACAAAGGGGAAAGTTTCAGAAGGAATTATCTCGTTCAAACCTCTCTGAATGACAACAAGTTCTTCTGGCTTTGGCTAAGTGAAGACAGACTTGGAAATATTTTTGTTTATATTTCATGCAGGCCAAGAATAATTGGTTAAAGTTTTTTTTTCCTAAATGTTTTCCAAAAATGAAAGCAGCTCTAGAGCATTCCTTAACCAATAAATAAGCGAAAGTATATACGCCTGCCTACGACCTCAAATATAACAGCCCTTGATGTCCCTTAAAGGGTGTCAATAACTAACAGCCTTTAAAATTACTACTCACCTTTCATCTTGTCCATGCTAAAGCTTCCTTCATCGCGATCATCGTAACCACTACCTGGACGCCCTAGAAAAAATTATCAGCATTGTTAAACAGTTCTTCAGTTCTTTAAAAACATTACTCACTTTTGCTACCATTCAAGTAGTCTTCCGGATTAAAGAAAGTCGCTATTGTTTTATCACCATCATAACCTCCATCTGGTCGGGCTGCTGTGCCATTACGGCGCACATAACCATAATCCCCATTCGATACACCGCCATAACCGCCTGGTTCTCCTCGCATAGGCGGACGTATTGAAGTGCTCAATGCATTACCATTTGGTGGGTCCGGACGACTTGTGTAATCTATAAAATCACCAGGCGGACGTTGACCATTCGACATTGTAGGTGGCATAGCGGAGGATGGTGGGCGTTGTTCGTAAGATGGACGCCTATTTAAGCCATCATACTCTGGGCGTGTGTAATAATTGGTTGGCGTTGTAGGATCGTAATCAGGTCGTGTTGGACGGTATGGATTTGGTGGACCCATCGGTCGATCGGGACGGTCATTGGGATATGATCCATGCTGGTCTGGTCGATTGCTGGGGTAAGATCCTGGCTGATCGGGACGGTCGTTTGGGTAACTGTTAGGGTGTTCTGGACGATCATTAGGTCTATCTGGGCGATCACTTGGATAAGAGCTGGGCCGTTGACTGGGATATGCGCTGGGTCTTTCACTGGAATACGAATCTGGGCGGTCGCTAGGGTAAGAGCTGGGTCTTTCGCTGGGATAAGAACCCGGCCGTTCTGGACGATCACTGGCATATGGACCAGGACGTGTAGTGTAAACACCTGGTCTGCTGGTATCACGATCTCTGTCCGCTTGCGAGCTTTGGTCATATGGCCTAGCCGTTGTGGGGTCATAAGATTCTGGGCGACCATAACTGAACCCATTACCATATCCCAAACCAAAAACCGGACGTGGTGGACCATGCGGTGGCGCATGTGTATCCTCAGTGGGATAATGTCCCGGTGGTCGATAGCTATCATGTACTTCTGGCACGTTTGAAGCGTAACCGCCTGGTATGTAAACATCATCGTTTGGCGATGGATAGTTATGTTCGTAGAGCGTGGGGTACTTATATAATGGATAGATGTCTTGTGAAAAATACAAGCGATCGCCATCCGGTCTCGTAGCACCAAGTGTGGGATTTATGCTGTCCGTATAGACACCAGGCGTTGTGCCGTATGTTGTTGACGGCGACGGGCTATAACCGGTAGAGGGTCGCTCGTGTGCGAATGTTGTGCTCGTAGTAGGCGTAGGGTCAACAACCAACAGTGTAGTACCCGGATCTGCTGGACGATTGGGTAACTGAATTGAAGGTGTGGGCGATAGGCCACCATAGCCTTCATCACCTTCCCCACCACCACCAACCGTTGTGTCTGTGATGGTGTTATCACTGAGATCGAAACAATTCGACTTGCGCGCATACAAATCGAAATCGGGATCGAAAATTATGCCACTCGGCCGACCGCCTGTCAAGCTGAATTTTTCTGTTGACAGCTGACAGGTGCCGTTTCCGCGTCGATGCACACTGGAAAGGAAGACACAGAAAAAATGAGAAAAATAAATGAAGAAAGAGGTATTAAATCGATGAAGTAATCGATTTGCCAAAAATAAAGGCAATCAAAAATGCAACACGCATCGCATGCATCGACTCTTGCATGTCGCAATGGTTGCAAGTTTGATTGCTAAATTATATTGTACGTCTGCAATGCAACTGACCCGAATGAGAGGGATTGACACTTATCGCCGGCTTGTATACACTTATCTTTGCAATTCTTCAGCGAGTTGGTGTCTTCGGTGTTGAAAGACTTTTGAAATGGCAGCATTGCCTCCAATGCGATGCGCTCGAAGCAATCTGAAATGTACGTACGAAGGAAGGGAAAATATAAATTAGCGACTAATTATTTTAAATTCAATCTAGCAATAGAAATTTAAAAAATTCTCAATATAAAAGTATTAAGTTTCTTTCGAAAATTTCGTAGCAAATTTTCTTCAAGTTAAAAATTAGCACGCTCCAAGAAAGTTTGGTTGGTTTGGTTTAGAACCTGCAGACAAGTTGAATCTGTTTGCTAACAGCTTCATCGTTGCGCTATTAGTTGCACTGTTGCCAGTTTTCCGCAAGTTAAAGCTTTTTTTTAATAGCCTGATGGGAATGAAAAGCTTCTTGGCTGCACTGTTGTCAAGTTTCTCGATGCTAAAATTTCCTGCGCTCATAGCAGCCTTGGTTCTTAGAGGTGGAAAACAGAAAAAAACTATCTTTCAATAGCTTTATCGCCGCCAAATACCTACAATTGCACTGTTGCCAATTTTCTTCAAGCTGAAAATTCCCACTTTTTAAGAAGTTCAAGTTATTTTAAAGCGCGATGTGTTCTAAGCCTTATACCGCAAATGTTCAATTCATTTTAGTCAGACTGATCGTAATCATAGTTGCGCTGTTGCCAATTTTCAGCAACGAGTTTCAACGCTCAAAGGAACTTTGGGTTTTAGAAGACAAAAACAAACTGACGTGGTTTTTTTCTACGACCAACCACCCAACCGCCCAAGGGGGGTGTCTCAGGAATAATCGAAAAATTCAACTGACTGGTACCCGAAAACCAGTCACAGTTAGGACTGCCCTGAAACCCGAGACCACCGATCGCAGAAGGTCGCGGTTGCACTTGCCTCTTACACTAAACATCTGCAGATTTGTTCATTTGTTCACCGCAGGACCCGAGTTATTATCGAATCGTACTACCAAGCGGTAGTCATGGGTTCGCATTCTGACCAACATTCAAAATTATGGAAAGATAATATAAAAAATAATAATTCCTTTTGAGTTCGCCACTGGGCAGGAAATGTTCAACTCCTCCTCTTAAAGGCACGTAGGCGTAGACGAGGTAGAGAGTTTTTGGTTTCTCTTTCCTCCTTAATTTTCTTTAAAAAATTAATTATTTTTGTTACTAGACCAAGTGGGTTGTTTTTTGTCACTTCGAAAGGCTTTCTATTCCATCGTCTCGCACTCATTATAATTAACGTTTTAAGAATGAAAAAGTCTTGTGATTACTCTCAGCTTATTAAGCTGAGCGATTTTTAATGCGAGGCTATTAAAGTGAAATTCTCATAGAAGTCAAGCTTCTGACTGCTTACTAGTACCACAAGTGTACTAACATACACTGTACAATAATTATCAGCACACCTGCTTCAAAATTCATACCTTCATTCCCGAGCTAGTCGTTTTTGTCACCAAAAGCCTCAAGATTATCACCCATTTCACCCTGAAACCGTTAATGTGTCAAAACGAAACGAAAAAAAAAAATGTCTTGTGGGTTAGAGATTTTGGGCCTCATTTACCTCGAGCAACGGCAATTAACTTTTTGGAGCAAGCTAAGTATATATATATGTGTGTGTGTGTGTGTGTGCAAGTGTGTGTTTTGGCTGTAGTCAAAGTGACAATGAATGGCAGCGGCAGCTAAAAGCGGCTCTAACGCTTGACAGTTCTAACATAAATATTTCAAATTTGTTGTTGGACTTGTTGTTGCTGTTTTATTATTTTATTACTCCCGCTACCGTATTTAGGTGATGTAGAGTTATTCTTGTTGCTGTAGTAGTTGTTGGTGTTATGTCTACTTTCTGGTGCATGACGAGCACATACATATTGAATGTGTTGCATGCAAATTCTCAACGCAGGCAACAACAAAACAGAAAAATAGTAGAGAAGTAGGTATAAATGACATAAAAGTGTGTGACGAATGCGTGCAACATAAAAGAGTAACAATAATAAACATATGCACATACACACATGTAGGTATTGTACGTAAAACACCTTTAAATGCATATACCCGTATGTGTGTACGTGAATGTTTTTGAATGCAAAGTGCGTGTAGTAAAGTGTTTATGTCTGGTGTTACATATTTTATTTATTTTCATGCTTTTTTTGGTTGAGCCAACAATTTCAATGTCACAGAACTGGCTTTAAAGCTTAACCGCGTACTGATTCTATTACTGATATAAACAAATAATTGTTATCCATTACCATTTACGCAAAAAATTTATTTAATTTATTTTTAATTCCTCAAACAGCACTGAAATTTCCTTAGCAAATATAATAAAATAGAATTAAAATAATATAAAATAAAACTAAAATGGAATATATAAAAATAAAAATTAATTAAAGTAATAAAAATAGTACAAAATAAAAAAAATAATTCATTAAAATAAGATAAAATAAAACAAAATGATACAAAATTAAATAAGACAAAATCAAATAAAATAAAGTAGACATAAACATAAATAACTAAATCAAATAAAATAATATGAAAAATATATATCTTTAAATAAAATAAAGTAATTTAAAATAAAATAAAATTTATTTTAATTTTAATTAAACTAAAAGAAATGAAATAAAATAAAATAAAATAAAATAAAATAAAATAAAATAAAATAAAATAAAATAAAATAAAATAAAATAAAATAAAATAAAATAAAATAAAATAAAATTGTGATGAAATTAAAAAAATTAAATTAAATAATATATTATAAAATAAAATAACTTAAAATAGAATAAAATGAATACAAAAAGAAAAAAATAAATAAAAAATCAAGATATGCATGAAATGATTAGGAAGTGTACTTGGATAAGTCCGCAAGTAGTTTCGAAACGTTCGTAAAAGAGAGTCTATACTAATTTTACTATGATTCAAGAACTAAGCTTAGTTGATTTTGAAATCATTCCAGATCAATCGTGAGGCCACTGAATCCTCAACTAGTGAATCTATATATAATACGTTTACGTTGCTGTATTAAATAAGACCATAACTGGTTATAAACTAGTTCATAAACTATATATATTTATATATATAAATGGAACTTTTAACCCGTGAAGCGATTTTCGGATGAGCTTCTCCTCCGATTTGTGGTGCGCGTCTTGATGTTTTTCGAATTTGAAGAGCATTTCTTTCCCTGCCGAGCGGTGGAGATAAAAGCTTTACCTACATTGATCACGAAATAAGCTTATGTGATTCCCTAAATGATAATAAAAGTCATGAGTCCTTAAATCACTGAAACTAATTCTGAATTAGTCTGAACTCTAATACAAACTGCATTGAGCTTGTTTCGTAGCGAAATGGAAAATGTCTTTATAAATTCGAAACTTGTATTATTTTATTACATTGACATTAGAATACTATTCTGGTTAAATTTTTAAATATGAAAGAAAACCATTTCAATTATAAATCTATCCGTATTGTTCAAGGTTTTGAACACCGAACTTCGAATTGCCATAGAAGAAATTTTGTATATCATGAGCAAGTATTTTAATATACACAACTCTTCACGCTCTCACTACATTTTGTTGTTACTAACCAGATGCGCTCTCTTAGTTATAGCCCAAAGCCCCATTCATATATCTATATTTTCAGTGAATTGGTTTTATTTTTTCAAATTTTGTTTCAAAAGTTCTTTTTGCAGCGCCCACCTCTTTTTCTGAATAGATCACATTTCGGCCGTATGCTCCAGTGTCCGTATGACAGCTCATAAATTATTCAATAAGGTCACATAAAAGTCAACAACGCTGGCAAATATTATAATTCGCTGGCGACAAAAATTCATTTGAACTAGTTGATATGACAAACGGGGGCATTACCCCACCAATATTTGCTAAAAATATATTAATTCTGGCCGCTAAAGCTCAACAACTTCCTTTCGTTCCGGCGACACTGCGACGCAGCCACCCACGTACGCGCCTGTCAGCCAACGCTTGCTGTTTGGTTGGCTTAATGGTTTTTCAAAAATTTTCATGGGTTTTCGATTTGCCATCAGTGTATGTATGTATACCTTTTGTCCATTAGCGATATTTTTTTTTATTTCATGAAATTCTCAGTACCCTAACACTCTTTTGTTCTGACACTGACACTGTTGGTTTTAATTATTCAATCATATTTGTTGTTGGTACGTATTGTTGCAAAAAATTGTTATACATAAAAATTCAATTGACTTAATTCTGTTGAACAGGAACAAAAGATTAACTAATACTAAGAATCTGCCCAGAAGAATTTGCTGTTTTTTTAATGTTATAATTTCAAGGGCATGATTTCACCTGCTTATTTGAAAAAAAAAAAATCAAAAAACTCTATATAAAATATATTTGAAAAAAAATTAATTGAAATTTATTCATATTTTTTTTTTACGGAATTATCCTTTTGGTATGAAATTAACTACAAGTGTGTTCATCATTCGCCTAGTCATCCCGGAGATACTTGGAGAGCAAAATACAACTTTCAACAGGAACCTAATGAAATCCAATAAGCCATTTTTTTAAAACCTATTTCTTCTTCCTTGAAACTATACTTCTGTTCGCAGAAAGATTTTTTTCTCGACTTGCACTACAGAAGATTGCTCTCTGAGAATGCCCATCAACAACTAGGTATAAGGAACTGTTTCTTACGTACAGCCGCTAGCGAAACTATGGGCTCTTAACAACGTCGAAAAAGGAGCTGATACGATAAGAATTTCCGATCTGTAATGGATTCGATTGTATGCTTGAATAATAATGTAGCGGCTAAAGCAGACTACTTACTAGCTACACCATTTAACCGTGGTGGGTAAGAACTGACGATATGCATGCAGCAGCTTCTTTGAAGAATGCTGTCGCACGAAAGCAGATCATACGATTGGGACCTGATTATTGGAGGATTTTATTAGGCTTTATTTGGCGCTTTATTATCGCTGAAATGGTATCTACTTTTTATATAAGCCATATATGAACGGTGAATGGATTTTTGTGAGGAAAAGACCTTTCAGAGCCGCTCGGCGGAACGGAAAGATCACTCATAATTTCCATTCCACTTCA